CCTGTGGTCTGGGTGGTGGGGGGAACATGCACCATCCTCGAGATGCTTGGTTTTTTGGCGGGGATCATGACAATTCGCGGATCGTGATTAGGACAACCCACCATCTCTGTGTCTTTGGCACTTGACGGGTGATTTAGTGTTTAGGGGTCCGGGGGTCTGGGTCTAGGGTTCAGCATTTTGGCAACTACTGGGTAGCTGATGTCTGTGAGACGTTGAGCTAGTATGCAAAGCCTCAAGACGGCAAAGAGATCAAGTGGTCTAGCATCCTTTCTACGAACACCCATGGAGGCGTAGTTGGAACGTGCTGATCACTGAAGCACAGTTGGCATACCTCTCTGCCACATCACCCTAAGCCCTAATCCCTAAACCCTGAACCCTAAACCCTAAACCCGAAACCCTACTAATCTCTTCACTTCCTGAGTTGGTGGCCTCGTAGGCAGGTCAACATGGTTCGAGGACTCAGGCACTTGAATTCTCGGCAGCCTTTAAGGCAGAGAACATGGGGTTGCGCTGCGGCTACATTTCCCTAGATTCAATCAACTAGCCCTCGTTCCTCACACCCAAAACCCTAAACTACCCAAAACCCAAAGCCCTAAACCCCTGAGGGGCCTAATCCTCAGCCTCGACAACCTAACTTCTGCGGAAGGTTCTCAGCTTTTCCGAACATCACATCTGTCATCTTACATGTCAACGACCAGATGTGGATCCAGAACGATACTTGGATCTGCAGGGGATGGTAAATATCCTGCAAAAGAATTTTGCGCAATGGGTACTACAGTAAAATAGTAACATGCAGGATTTTTAGGATCAACAGTGGAAGTCTAGTTGAGAAGGTTTGAGTTGTGTACGCTCGGGACAGAATCATGCAGCGAATGCATTTAGAACAGACTTTGCCACGGTGGAATACAACGTTAGAAATCGAAAAAGATTCCAAGCAGAGCGTTTGAGATTCGTTGCTTTTGAGCCGAGCGGGCTTCGTTGGGCGTTCTTACGAGCGAACTTGGAACAGTACATGCTTTCATCAAGCCCTTTCCGTCAGAAGGGTATGCCTCCTAACTCCTGACCTTACTGGTTCTTTATAGGCAATATGGGAATATGGTATGTGGGTGGATGTCAAAATGATGGTCCCTTTTTGGATCCGTATTATAATACGGCACCTATCATTTAGGGTACCCAAAAAGGGACCATCATTTTGACATCCAGTCATGTAGGGATTTCCCTTACTCCTTACTGAGTACTAGTAGGTAGCATTCCTCTAGCCTATCCTATGAGCTGACGAGCAAGGGTTCAGGATCCTGGGCTTTGGGTTCAGGGTTTAGGGTCCAGGGTTCAAAGATTGGGGTTTGGCATTGAGGGCTTAGGGTTTTGGGTTTTGGGTTTAGAGTTTGGGGTTTAGGTTTTTAGGATTTCGGGAATGGGTCTCCATGAACACAGCTAGAGTAAGCCTCGTGCAGAACGTTCCACGAAGTTCCTGAAACTCATTTTGTAGTTCCCTCCGTATTTCCACTTCACATCATGTGAGCTATAGTCTAAACTCTTTAAAGGGGGAATATATAGGGGATTATAAAGGGAACTACTATAGGGATTATTAAGGGGGATGCTAGGAGTTTAGACTATAGCTCATGTAGCAGTTGCTTACTGGTGATTAGCACGGAATCACTGAGTATAATCCTTGTACATTCCCGATCTAACGCATTTCCTTTCGCCCTACTGACCCTCGAACCTATCTATCCATCTATCTGTCTATATGTATGTGTATATATATATATAGATATATATATATATACGTATGAATTTCCTCTTGTTCCTCAGTACCCCGCAGAAAGGTTGGGGCACGTCGTGGGGATTGCAGGCACCTTTCTGCCCATAGAAGGCAGAAGTTGACTGAAGTGGATATCTGTGGAAGTATAGTCCCCCTTAAGTAGATAGACTATAGCTTTGGGTATATTATAATAAGATCCCCATATACCCCCATATTCTAACTACTTCAGGGGGACTATAGCTGCAGCCTATGTTCAAAGTCGGCACCGACAAACACCCGATGAAACGCATGTTTCCGTCTCTAGGATCCTTGAGATGATATTGTTATTGAGTCAATCCAAGCTCTAGTATCAGCGTGACCACTATAGCATATTGGGTGCTTTCTAGGTATAATGGAAAATGAAATGGAAACTACTACGGTATATTGGGCTTACATGGGGATAGTGGAAATAGTATCATAGCCCCAAACCTTGCATTTCCTAGTCTGACAACTTGGTCTGTCTTCGTGACAGCTTTGTGGTCAGGAGCTTGAGGTTCCCAGTTTCTGGCTCGTCGTTTAGGGTCAGGGGTTGAGGGTTCAGGGTGTAGAGGGGAATCTCCGGACAGCTGCAATCTTCCTGAGGACTTGTGGGGCATCAAGCAGTGCATTTGTGCGAATCCCTCTGGGAACCACTGCACCAAGCCACCATGCAAAGCATACGTCGCCGGACTGCACTAGTTTTTGTGGTACCACTATATGAGCTACAGTCTAAACTCCTACAGTATCCCCCCTCATAAGCCCTATAAGACTCCCGGATGTAGTCCCAACCCCTCCTTAAAGGAGTTTAGACTCTAGCTCATATGCTCCCTGCAACCCTTATTACGTCCTAAAACCCTAAACCCTTAACCCTAAAGCCCTAAACCTTAACACCCTATACCTCAAGACCCTCAAAACCCTATTGTATGTAACCCCCATATAACACATGTAACCCTGTAGTCTGCCACCTTCATGCGCAGGGGTGCCTTGGCAGAGTCCCCAGGTTCTACTCCCTGGTGCTTAGTAGGGAATGGGGGAATGGATTGCAAGGACTATGACTAGGGAGTATATAGGTGTTATCAGTACGAGGTATGGCCTTCGGGTTTGGGGTTTCGGGTTCAGGGTTTTGGGTTTTGGGCTTAGGGTTAAGGCTAGGGTTTAGGGTTCGGGGCTTTCGGGTTTTAGGGCTTAGGGTTTTGGGTTCAGAGTTTTTGAGGCTGATGCACACGATTTGCGCGCTTCTGCTTCCATGCCTGCTGCATGTCAACTTGATGTCGGTCAGTCAGCAGAGTGTCCTTGGACGGGTGAGGGGTTTAAGGGTTTAGGGGTTTGGGGTTTAGGGGTTTAGGGTTTAGTTTAGAGGTTCAGGGCCGCACCCGCCGTAAGTCCTGAAGTCCTTTCGGGTTGAGGGTTCAATTATGGGGCATTTCGTTTTGTTGATGTTCACGGCTTCAAGGTATACCTTTTGAAGTCCTTGATTCTGGAGAAAGCTGGGTGCCCATTTACATGCACTTTGAGTCAAAAAAGCAGGATGCCCCGAAATTGCATATCGTTCTTACTTTTGCAAGTTTGCTGCAAAATGAGGGTCCACAAACTCCTGACTAGACCTGAGAGCCCGAAACGTAGATTCTGGCTCCACGTACCCTCTCCAAAACCTAGATTCTATAGGGCTCTCCAAAATGATGTTCAATTGTTGGGCATTTTAGTCCTAATAACAACAAAAATTATGTTAATCTTAGTGGGGTTCTGAGGCCTGTTAGTAGATCTCTGAATTTCAATCCGTAAATCCTCAACGCTCAGGTTCAGCACTGGGACACCTTTGCCGGCGCCCCAAAGCTCGTACTTCTTGTTGTCGCACCGAAGCCACATGAGCTATAGTCTAAACTCCTTAAGGGGGGATGTATAGGGGATTATATATGGCACTACTATAGGGGTTATTAGGGGGGATACTAGGAGTTTAGACTATAGCTCACATGAGTCGTATCATTATACTTATCATCATTCTTCATTCTTATTGCTGTGATTATGGCTATTGTTGTTGATGTCAGTACTCATGACGATTATTTTTTCATTTGCGCGCAGCCCCTCTACAAACAAAGGCCAAATCCGAACCCTAAGCCTCCAACCCTTAAGCACGAACAACAACCAGCCATAGTCCCTCTCTTTGAAGGATCCTGCAAAGTGATTCCATCAAAGCTTACCCCCTTGAAGAACCCATTGTGCACATCCATGGGGTGAAGTCTTCAACGCTAAACCTCAACAAGGGATTGGCTGGTAGTCAATATTGTGGTCCCGTTTTGGGTCCCCATTATACTCCGGCACCTAATATTTAGGGTACCCCAAAAAGGGACCACAATTTTGACAACCACCCGATTCATGATTTCCAGCGGCCCGACCCTGTTCTTAGGCGAACGCACAGTATCTCGGCCGCGAGCGCATCGGGGCGGACCGGCGCTTAGTGGCTGACCGGGTGCTGGGGGCACAGGGGTCCTTCTGGAGCAGGGCTCGCAAGGGTTGAGGGTTTCGGGTAGGTTGAAGGCCGGTTAGGGCTGGAAACTTAAGATGTGGAGGGTTTGGGTGGTTTGAAGGGCTTCAAAGAGTGATGGCTTTAGAATGTTCAAGTTGTCAGATTTTGGGTCTTCATTAGCGTTTCAGGCTTGCCGCTTAGGACGAAAATGGATTGAGTCGGAGGATGAAGAACTTCTTAGACTTGTGAGTCGTTTCCCATCTGCCTTTATTTGTTGGATTCCATGTTTTCATTTCGGTGGCTGCTGATTCTCAGAATGACCATCTGCGCAAAGACGTAAACTGATTCGGGGGAAACGTTCAGATGTAGTTGTATCCTGCCAATTGACGGATCAACGTTTCAGCCTCTGAACCACAAGAAATAACCCCAACATCATGGTAGCTTCCATTTTATTTTCCATTATCCCATATTTACCCCCAATATAACCCTATATACTCACTATGTTCCCTGTAGTTTCCATTTTCTTTTCCATGATCCCAAGCTAACCCCAAGAAAACCCCAAACCCTAAACCCAAATAGAACCCTTAAGCCCTTAAGTACTTTGACCAACCCGGTGAGCCTTTATCTCACCAGTGCTAAGTAGGAAGCGAAGGAATAGGGGTTTAGGGGTTTTGGGTGTAGGGGTGTTGGGTTTAGGGGTTTAGGGGTTTAGGGTTTAGGGGTTTAAGGTTTAGGGTTTAGGATGTAGGTTGGGAGGACCTCCACCCGTTAATAGCGACTAAAAGGGATGATAAAGATTATATCTATAAAGATCTTCTTATATTGGCTTAGATTCCTCTTATGCCACTATACCACCATGAAAGGGTGGAGGGTCGTCCTAAGGCCGCAAGGCGCAACGCGCGGGATTAGGCTAGGCTTTCTCGAGTAGAAACTTGGGTACTTTACACCATAGCTGTAAACTTGGAAGAATACTAGTTGAAGTTACGTCTTCCGGTATGGTTAACCCTGAACCCTAAACCCTAAGCCCTAAGCCCATGGAA